TGGTTCAAGTCCCAGACCCAGTGGCTTAAACTCATGCCGGGCGCGTGTGCATGCATGCCCAAGATCTTGAGAGGAGAATGGAGGAGAAGGGATTGTGGCATGGCCATCCCTCCCGGAGGGTGATTTCTCATTTTCTGTCTCTCTGTCTCTGTCTTTCTGGTGAGCACATGTGCCCTATAGCAAAAATCTCTCAAAAAAATTAAATTAAATTAAAAAATAAATATCAGGGCCAGCAGGTGGTGTCGTGGTTAAGGGCACTGGATTCCCCCATGACTGACCGCAGTTCAAGTCCCAAAACTGGCGGCTTGCTTTCTTTTTCCCTCTCTCTCTCTCTCACTCTGTCTTTCTCTGGTAAAAATAAAAATAAATAAATAAATAAAGTTAAATAAAATTATTCTTTAATAAAATAAATATCACTTGTATTTCTTGTACATACAACTTTATACTTTGAAGCTTGTATCTGTGAAGTTGCAACAGAAATGTATCTTGCCAATGTTTTCCAAATGAACTGAATAAGGGTTTTCTTGGGGGAAAAAAGAAAAACACACCAGGGCAGAGACATCGTAAGCAGAGGGGGAATATAGCTACCTCTACTTGCATCCTTTATTGATGTTCCAGAAACAACTAAATGGTATTTGGTACAAAAAAATAAAAATAAAAGAATAAGAAAAGACCCAACTCAAATATGGTTTTTTTTTTTTTTTTTTTGGAGTATTTCTAGACACCTCCTAACATGGAATATAGCCCCTATTTAAATGAGTATTATGTTATTTGTTCTTTATGCACAAGGAATATCAGAACCTAGTCCTATCTGGCCCTGGCTCGGGCCCTTGGACCAAGCTTTTACTCTCCTTTCTAGGAATTACTGGTTGTAAGAATTGGGGCAAATCTCTAAACAGTATCATTTCTTTTTTTTTTTTTCTTTTTGTTGTTGGAGAGGTTTTTGCTATAGGGTGCATGTACTCGCCAGAGAAACAGAGAGACAGAGAGACAGAAAGCAAGAAATCACCCCCCCAGGGGAGATGGCCACGACGCAATCCCTTCTCCTCCATTCTCCTCTTGGGATCTTGGGCATGCACACATACGTACCCGGCTGAGTTTAAGCCACTGGGTCTGGGACTCGAACCTCAGTCAGCTACATGGGAGTTCAGCGACAACTGCTGGTCCCAGTATCATTTCTCAGATTTGTTTCTCAGTTTCTTCACCTGTCAAATTAAGGCAATGATATGCATTTCACAAGGCGGCTGAAGGAAAACACGCTCTATGAATGCAATTAAAGACCTTGATACTGACCCTCCCCATTCTTTAAAAAAAAGAATTATTTTATTTAACTTTATTTATTTATTTATTTAAATTTGCCCAGAGAGGGGAGGAGGAGGAGGAAGAGGAGAGAGAGAGAGAGTTTCTGTCATGAGAGAGAGAGAGAGAGAGAGAGAGAGAGAGAGAGAGAGAGAAAGTGAGAAAACAAGCCTCCTGGTCCAGGTCTCAAACCATGGTCAGCCATGTGTGAGTCCAGTGCCCTTAACCACCATGCCACCTGCTGCCCCCCCGACCGTCCCCATTCTAAATACCTTGGGCAAGTCTGTTGGCTTCTCTGTACCTTGACTTCCTCACTGGAAAATGGGCTCGCTGTGAGAAGCAACTGGAATCAGGCAGAGAACCTTTGATGTGGCATCTGGCAAATAGCCAGTGTGCCCATCCATGGCTACCGAGATCAGAGTTTTCTTCTTCTTTCCTTTGGAAGGAAGGAAGAAAAACAAGGTCTTACTATGTTGCCCAGGCTGGCCTCGAATTCAGTCCTCTGTTTCAGCCTCCCAAGTAGCTGGGACTAGAGGTACGCACTGCCCTACCCAGTCATAACCAGTTTTCAAGGAATGGCTCTTCTGTGGTGTCTAGAGGGCAAGGATGACCCCTTGTTCACATTTTCACTTTTCTCCATCCCCCCCAGGGTCCATAGTCTGTCTTGGTCAGACTGTTTGCTGAGTGCTTCCAGCTGGAGTCTGGACCCTCTTGCACAAGTTAGGGCTCAACGTTCAGCCTGGGCAGCAATGGCAGCAGCAATTTGGTTGAAATGACAACTTTATCAAAAACAATATATTTTGGGAACCAGCAGTTAGCGTAATGGCTATGTCGCTGGACTCCCACGTAGTCGACCGCGGTTCGTGTCCCGGACCCGGTGGCTTAAAACTCACGCCGGGTGCGTGTGCGTGCGTGCCCAAGATCCCGAGAGGAGAATGGAGGAGAAGGGATTGCGGCGTGACCATCCCCCCTGGGGGGTGCTTTCTCGCTTTCTGTCTCTATGTCTCTCTCTGTCTGTCTGGCGAGCGCACGCGCCCTACAGTGAAAATCTCTCAAAAAAAAAAAAAAAAAAAAAAAAAAACAATATATTTTGCCTCTGGTTTTTTATTTATTTGATTTTATGTATTATTATTATTTTTTTAAAATTTGCTATGTGTGCTAACCAGAGAGACATAGAGATAGAGAGATAGAGAGAAAACAAGGTGTCAGATCTGGGACTCAAACAGCAGTCAGCCACGTGGGAGTCCAACGCCCTAACTACCACACCACCTGCTGGCCCGCCTCTGATTTTTTAAGAAGTCGAGACTCTGTCTGCAGTCTTACAATATGTTTGTTCATTTTCTAGAATTAAAAAAAAAAAATAGACACCCAATTACTTTGCAGTCAATTATCCTTGCTTTTTCACAATATTTGCAACAGTTTTAAACGACTACCTAAATGTCTGAGAGTCGAAATGATTTCTTTCCTTTTGTTCTCTTCTTTTCTCTTCCTTCCCTCTCTCTTCAAGCCTTCCTTTCCCTCTTTTCTCCCTCAGGGTCAACAAGTAGTGTGGAGGTTAAGGCACTGGATCCCACATGGCCGGCTGCATGGTTCAAGTCCCAGAACCAGCAGCTTGAAAATCACACTATGTACATGAGCATTTGTACCCAAAATCTTGAGAGGAGACTGGAGGAAAAGGGATTGTGGTGTAGTCATTTCCCCTGGGAGGGGGCTTTTATACTTTCTCTCTCTTTTTCTGTCTCTGTCTGTCTCTCTGGTGAGTACATGCATCTTAGAGTGAAAACTAAAAAAAGAGAGAGAGAAGAAGCCCCCAAGCCTGGGTTTGCTCAGGTGCAGGGCAAGCCCACAGTGCGCAAGGAATTGATCCGACCCTTCGGTGTTGCCTTGTGGGACTTGGGCAAAGCGGGTGGAGGCAGACATAATCCTCCTGTTGCTTGCTGTGCTGAGTAATAAATTCCTATGTCTCAGACCCAGGCAGGCATCTCATGTCTTTGGGTCAGACTAATTAGTTGGCTTGTAAGTAGGGTACAATTCCCAGACTCTGCCATGGACCTTTTAAATCCCTATTACACTCGTGTGTTGCTTTTACAATATAAATATCAATTTAAAAAAAAGATAAAAACCTAAGACATACATATACGAAAAATCAAAGCTTACTAATTAGAGGAAAGTTAGAAAACAAAAGCCATTCAAAGAAGAAAATAAAGAACCCCTCTCAAGGTGGCAATTTGGTTAATCTCCCACTCCGTATCTTTCCAGACTGTTTTCCATAGGTTCCCACATTGTTACTAGTCTCCTACAAAAACGAGGTCAAAGCACATGTAGTGATCTTAGTAGTTTCCGCCTCAGTTTAGCCAAACACTTACTGAGGGCCACTGTGGTGACTCGCAGCACCTTGTGACAGATGAAGAGTCCCCCAGCCTGCAAAGGCATTCATAGCCCACAGCTGGGGTTGGGGCTTCCCCTTGCCCTACTATTTCCTGGGAGCGCTAGGATGAGAAATGGCGCCACCTCAGTCCTGCCTAACAGCTCGGGGACCACACATGCAAAGTAAACCACCCTTCCCTCCGGTCTCCTCCTCTGCGCCCCCTAGTCCTTGCCCACGCATTTTCATCACCTCAGCACAGACCCCCAGTCTCTCCAGCAACACTCTGTCATCCCATCCCCCAACTAAGACCCTGAATTCCTCATTCCCGAGGTTCCCCTCCCCTCCTGCACCTAGCCCCACCTCTACACCCCCCTTCCCCCCTCCACCGCCATGTAGTCTGGTGATGGTGCTGGTGATGGTGCTCTCACGGCATGGCAGTTGTGGGAGCCCAGCGGGTGGGGCAGGATGCAGGGTGGGGTGGGTGGAGCCAGGGCCCACTTCCTTTCCCCTTGGGGCCCTGTCTGCCCGTCCTGAACCAGTCTCAGGAGGAGGTACAGTGGCCTGGCTCCTGCCTGCTCTTATCAACTGAACTGGTAAGTGGGTGCACCTGGGGGCCAGGCCTCAGTGGGCCTGGAAATGTGCCTATGGCTGGAGCAGATGCTGACAGGGGATGGGAAGAAGCTAAGGAGCCACTGGGTTAAGGGAGACCTGGGAAGGCCAGGAGGGGATGGCCATTCATTGCTGAAGCCTGAGCTGCCAAGGCCTGAGGGAGCCGGAGGATGAGGTTGGTGGGGAAGCTGCTGCCACCGGTTCCTTTCTTATTTCTGATCATAGTAAAAGCAAGGGTGGAAAACGTTGTTAACTCACAAGCTGGGCCGGCCGTCAGCAGGGAAGTGGGCAGGGGGAGCGCATGGCCGGATCTCCCAGCTCCCATGTCTGTTTCTCCACCTTCCTCAGCCACAGGTCCTGACCCCCATCATGCCTGCTGCCCTGGAGATGGCTCTCCTTCTCCTCTTTGGAGGCCTCTGGGTTCAGGAGGTGAGCCCACAGATGGCTACCAGCAATGAGTCCTCTAATTCTTTGGCCTTGGCTACCACTGAAGCCTTAACCTTCAGCTCAACAATGGCCACTGACTCAACAGCAAGGGACCCTAAGGTTGCCAGCACCGGGGATCAGACCTCAACCCTACCTCCCTCAGCTCCCTTGGGAGCCCTTGAGTTAGCCTCTCCTGGGACTTCAACTGATGTCAGCACAGGTCCCCTGGTACTTGAGCCTACAACCTCCCAGGAAGCCTCCACCATGAAGCCATCAATGAGCCTGGAAGTTTCTAATACAACTAGTGATCCAGGAGTGGACTCTCTGGGACCGCATGCTGTGATGGGTGGAGCCACAGCAACTGGCTCTCTAGAGCCCTCCAGTGGGACCAGTGACCCCCCTGTTGCCACAACAATCAGCTCTCTAGAGCCCTCCGGTGGGACCAGTGGACCCCCTGTCATCATGACAACCAGTGGGACTCCTGGACCCCCTGTCACCACAGCAATCAGCTCTCTGGAGACCTCCAGTGGGACCAGCGGACTCCCTGTTATCATGACAACCAGCTCTCTGGAGATCTCCAGTGGGACCACTGGACTCCCTGTCACCATGGCAACTAGCTCTCTGGAGACCTCTAGTGGGACCAGTGGACCCCCTGTTATCACAGCAGTTATCTTTCTGGAGACCTCGCGTGGGACTAGCACCTCCACCATCTCGGAGGTAGAAATATCCCTAAAGACCTCTACGAAAACAAACGGTAATCTCTCCCCATCTCCAGATCAGGGGTCAAGCGGCATACTGCTGGTGGCCGTGCTGGTGGCCCTGCTGGTGGTCATCGTCCTCATCGTCCTGCTCCTGCTGTGGCGCCAGCGGCAGAAGCGGCGGACAGGAGTCCTGACACTGAACAGAGGTGGAAAGCGCAACGGGGTGGTGGATGCCTGGGCTGGGCCAGCCCAGGTTCCTGACGAGGAGGCCATGGTAGCAACAGTGGGAGGTGACAAGGGCTCTGGGGTCCCTGAGGGAGAGGGGTCTGGCCGGCGGCCCACCCTCACCACTTTCTTCAGCAAAAGGAAGTCTCACCAGGGCTCTTTGGCACTGCAGGAGCTAGAGTGTGGGTCAGGCTCCAGCCCAAAGGGGGAGGAAGAGCCCCTTGTAGACAGTGAGGACGGGGCTCTGGAGGCCCCCAGTTCTGATGGGCCAGCAGAGGGAGATGCCCTGTGCCTCCCTGAGTGTGAGTAAGAACAGTGTGTGCCAGCTTCCAGCACCACCCCTCTTAGCACACTCCCAACCCCGTCATCTCCCAGCATCCTTCGGATTCCCACGCAGCGTCATTCTGAGTCTCCATCAGCTTCTTAGCCCTGGGTCTTGCAGCCAGCATCCTCACCCAGCATCGCATCCAGCACCCGGACCAGGGCCTGCACCTGCCCGACGCTTGTAGTCTGGATGGACAAACCTTCCTCGTCAACCCCTACTTCTCCCATCACACCTTTTTTCTCCATCTTTTTGTTGTTGTTGTTCTGGAACTAGCTGCTGAGTGTAAATACCAAACTTCCTTGGCCTCTGATTTCTTGGAGGACCCCCTGAAGAATGCTAGAGTCCACGAAGGAGAAGGAGGTGGTCTTGTCCTGTGAGCCTCCTTAGCTCTGGGTCCTAGGGCCAACCTGAAGCATGGGCTGAAGGCAAGGTCGAGGCAGGAGCCACCTACCTGTGCTATTGGGTGGGCCTGGACCCTTTTCTGAGCTCCAGACTCTGGGCTGGCTCCTGGCCCAAGCCTCCTCTCTCCCCCGCCTATGGACTGAGTCAGCCAGAGGCTTCGCTATTTCACCTCCTCAAGGCAGAGGTAAGAAGAGCTTCTGGCCAGGCGTAGGTCTCAGCCGCTCCAGCAGCATTTGCGCTACAGTCTGTGTGCAAGAGATGAGGACGGGGCTGCTTGCGATGGCTAGTGGGGAGTGCAGGTGGTGTGTGGGAGGGGCAGGCAGCGGTGCAGAGACTGAGGAGGTGCCCGCCCGACGGTGGGGGACAGGCTCTGTGGGAACACATATGTCCTCCACGATGCCCAGATGGGTGGGCGTGGCACACAATTGAACTCCGTAGCCCAGTAAAGGATGCCAGGCTTGTTCGAAAGGCCACATGTGTGACCCAAGTGCGGGTTCTTCAGCTCAGCCACTGTATCTCCTCCTCAAAGGCTCGATGCACACTCATGCACTTGCACGCAAACACACACGCACACACACATACACACACGCACACAGTCGGGGGCAAGGCGTCTGGTTCTGCCAAACCACTGGTCTTGCTGAAGTCCCCTCCGCGTTACATTGTCTGTCTGTCTTTCACTCCTGGAGCTGAGCTTCTTTCCTGCTCCAAGGGGAATGAGTGAGAGTGAGCAAAATGAGGAGGGAGCAGGGGACTCCCCTTGTGGGATTGGGGTGGAGAAAAGGGCGCAACCCCACTGGGCTGCCCCTGAGACTAGTCCCTGCTGTCCTGTCGCCTGAGGGAGCACATGGGCCAGGGCCGTTGGTATTTCCCCAGGACAAAGAGGAAATTTGCAAAGAGGAAGTTGTTGAGTCAGAGAGAGCAGTGGCTGAGAGCAGACAGTGACCTACCAAACGAGACAGGGAACCATGCGAGGGTGACTGCCAGGTGGCCTGCGCGGGAGATAAGGAAAGCCCAAGCACGTCAGCTCCTGCAGACGCCCCTGTGACTGCGGCAGGGCAGGGCCTTGTTCCCAACTGCACAGGGAAGGGAATCCCGGCTTCCCCGCGTCGGACTGGACACTCCGAAGGCTGGATCTGGCTGCCTTTTCCTGCTTCTCACAAGGTGCTGTTTGGAACACCTGCAGCCCCAGAATGGCCAAAGTGGGTTCCAAAGTTACTGAGAGACAAGCAAGTGTAAGGTCTGGGGGAAGGGAAAAGAAACATGGCGGAAACATTCCCGCCAGCAGGAACTTCCTGTTGTCCACACCTGGCCCGCCATCACCAACGGACTTACCTGCCCTTCAGCATTTGGCGCGCCCGCCCAAGTTGAACAGAAACAGCGAACTTCATTGGCCAGACAAGGACCCGTGGTGACCACCTATTGGACAATGGCCCTTTAAGAATGAGCAGCACCCACCCTGGGTGTGACTCCATTGGCCTCTGAGCAGACCGAGGGACCTCACCCTAGAGCGAGAGCACAGAATAAATTATGCTGGTTTTATTAAACCCCAAAGCCTGACTCTGGCATTTCCGCCTTCCAGGGGTCCCATTTCAGGTTTAGAGAATGCTGGCTGACCCTAGGGGCCCAGCTCCACCTCCTTGCAGTCATTGTTTGCGTTATTGGTTTCCAGGGCCTGGGGGAATCCTGAGAAAATACAGTAGAAAATACTGGTAGAATGGCACCCAACAGGGCTTTCACATTCCAGGACACCCTAAACTACATGAATGTTAGTAGAGACACAGGCCAGTCCGCGGCATGGCGGGAAAGGCGGGTGGATCCAACGTGCCCAACTATGTAGTTTGAGTCTCTCACCCAGTAGCTTGAAAGACATGCCAAGCACGTGTGCATGTGTGCCCTACATCCCCAGAGAAGAATGGAGGAAAAAGGATTGCAGTGTGGCAACTCCCCTGGGGGGGTATTTTCCACTTCCCCCCCCCTCTCTGTCTCTCTCTTATAGCAAACTTCAAAACAAAACAAAATAGGGCCAGCCAGTGGTGTGGTGGCTGGATTTCATGTGGTTGACTGCATGGTTTGAGTCTCAGACCTGGTGACTTGAAAAACACAGCAGGTGCATGTGTGTGCATGCCAAAAATCCTGAGAGAAGACTGGAGGAGAAGGGGTTGCAGTGGGGACACCCCCCAGGGAGTGATTTCTCACTCTCTCTATCTTTGGTAAGTGTATGCATCCAGTCGCTAA